TTGCGCACGCGCTTCCAGGGAGGGTGAGGGTGATGCTGGTGTGTCAGTTAACCTAAAGAAGAGGGGCAGAGTTGGAGGTTAAGAGCCAGATGGGATTTTTTAATTTTTTTAAAAAATACAAGGCTAATGCACAGATGAACTAAAGCAGCCCCATACCTCTGGAAATCATTTACTCGGGGGCTGGGGGAAAAGGTGTTTTTATGTGGCGTATCTTACATTGCATGTCCCTCCTTCTGAGACTTGCAGTCATGCTCTTGGTGATGTTTTTGTCTCTTGTAAAAAAGCCTGAAATTTTACCGGATACATTTAAGTGGTCACCTTTTTGCTGTGTTGCTGTACAGAGATGTCCATGCTCGAGACGTGGCCCTGCATGCAGAAAGCCCCCATCAGAGGTCCCATCCCTCTGTCACACGTTAGGGTTGGCATGGTGGAAGCAGAGCTAAGTGTTGCGGCTGCTTTTTCCTTGGCTGCTGGTGTGGGTTTTGATGCTACAAATATTGCTTGCTTTTTTGCTGTTTGGATTTCCTCCTAGCTGTACTCCATGCATATATATATATGTATATAATAGGCTCTCTGTTTACTTTGGTGAAGTAATGGACCAAAATGCATCCTTCAGGCATGTTGTGAGCACTTAGTTCAGTCTTCAGTCCCAGACCTTTTGTGCTTTGCTGGATTTGCTTTCCTGGCTCTGGGTCCTTTCTCCCCTGTGTACACCCCCAGCCTGACGCCGTGCCGCAGGCTCCATGCTCACAGCCCTGCGGCTGCTCAGCTCTACCGGGGGAGTTGGATGGCTAAATATCTTTTGGGGTCATATCCACCACCTTTAGTCTCCATGGTGGTAAGATTTGCAGGTTGCTCACCAGGCATCGTTTGAACGCCCAGTGGCTTCATCCCAAAGACAGAAGCAATAAAGCAAATTCAGACTCTTCTAAATTCTGCCCAGCTGCCAGTATCCAAGCCCTTTCATAAGGCTGAGTGAAAGCACCACGCGCGCCGCACCGAGAGCTGAGAGCATTTTAAATGACTCCTTCGAGGTTCCTCTAAAATCGGGGCACCGTTAAGCTGCATTAAATAAACGCAAGCCAGCTAGCCTCTGTTTGGGGAATGATTCTCCCTCCTTCCCAGGCAGGCAGGGGTCGGGGCAGGACCGTGACAAGCCAGGAGCAGGAGCCACCACCGCGCAGTGACAGTGGCGGGGTTGCTGTTGGCTGGGTGTAGATGTAGGCACAACCTTTGGCCCGGTGGGCGGCAGTCCCTGCGAGTCGCCTGCCCTGCGTCCCTTGCTCCCCGGCTTACGTAGGGTTGTTGGGTTTTTTTGCCTTGTGGCACCGCTCTGTACTTTGGACTTTGCTTCTCGCTGTTTTTCCCCGAGTCCTTCGTTCCGCCGATTTTTTTTTTTGCAGCAAAATGAGTTGCAGGCTCATTCAACAACACTATTGAGGGTTCAACCATAAATGGCTGGTTGCTCTGGATGCCCCTCCGGATGCAGACCTGTGTCTGCAGGTGCTCCTGCACAGGGGCTTTCTGCAGGAGCACAGCTCCAGTGGGGTCCCGGGTCCCGCGCGGGAGCTGAGCATTGTGGGGGGGTCCGAGGGCTTCCCGCGGGCAGGCAGACTAGAGCTGCCCATAAGCAACCCGGGGTAGGGATGGTCTTTATCACTCGGTGTGTACAACCACCACCATGTGAGTGTTTTTGTCGAGGTGGTTTATTAAACCTTTATTATATTTATGTAGCTCCCAGGGTAATATGATCTGAGGTTAATTACTGGAGCCGGTTTTCTTTGTGAATACATCTGAAGAGTTTGTCAAAAGCCTGCGGTAGTCTTTTGCGCTCCTGTTTAACATGATACAAATTTGGATGACTCAGGGTAAACATCGACATCAGGGGGGCTTGGACTGGCGCTGAAGGTGAAGGAGAGCCCTGTGTTGCTTTGCGGGGGGCTTCGCCTCTGCACGGCGGCTCTGTCGGCAAAAGCCCTGCCTTGGTTGTGGGCACCGGATGATTTTTTGGGTACGGATGCAATGCTACACGGTGTCCCAGGCAGCCTGGGATATGGTAGAAGACCACCTCGAAACTCCTGGTATGGAGGGTGAAAGGCAAGGAGAAGCCCGAATACTCAGGGCTAGAAGCTGACGCCTTACCGGCAGCCGGGGAGAGGAAGGAGGAGGAGGAATCTACTGCAAAAATGTTCTCAAACACAGTTGAATGAGGTTGAGCAGCTCCAAAAGTGAGATTCTGAGAAAAGCAGTGCTAAATAAGGACAGGTAGCGGCCTCTGTCTGAAAGGATATTTTTATTGGGCCGGCAGCAGGAAGCATAATTTTCTTTAAATGACATGTATATCTAGAGTATGCTGTAATACAAAGTCGGCCAGTGCAGTGCTTTTTTAAAACGGGAAATTATTTTTCATAAGCTGTACAGCAAAATTCACTGGGAAGGGAACACTTGGTGGGCAAGTGTTTCACAGCCACTGGATCGGGGATGCTGCCCCGCCTGACGGCAGCGCTGATGAAAAATACCTGTTTTCTGCCACGTCCCCATCAGCAATGGGTCACATTTACCCACTCCAAACTGTGCTGATTTAAAATAGGCATTTTGGTTCTTTTTTCTACAAACACGAGGCATCATTCATGGCCAGAATGAATATATGTTTGTACTGTCGTGGCTGTAATTACA